TTTCTTTGAGAGTTTGATGGGGTCACAATAAAAAAAAGATGACTGACGATCAACGTTTTAGAAATTCCTTTCTCGTGCTCGTTTCACGATGTAACAGACTGTAAATTACCTATTTGTGAGAAGGAAATAAGCATATTTGATTTGCCAGTATTTTGAATGGAGTCATTAAGTACTGAAGTCATGGAAATTATGCTAATTGTTATTGATGCTACTCCGTGATTGCCAAATAATAACCAATAATATGCCGCGCACATCATCACATTTACATGTTGCTCTCCACATCGGCTCGTTAGCGACGGCGGCGGCGTCTCGACGCCGGGCCTAATGGGATCCACTCTCGCCACCAGCACACTCGGGAGGCGAGGGGACGGAGTGCCTGCGCGGCGCCATCACGGCTTAGGGACCCGGTTGTCGTTGCAGCCCTGTCGCGTCGAGTCAGTCTTTCCTCTCTTCTTTCGGTCAGGTGAAAGAAAGCCAAAAAAAAAAAAAAAAAGCCCAGCAGACTGCTTCCGGAGCCCTAATGCTCTTTGTCAGCTGGCTGTCCCCGTGGTCACAGTGGAGATTCATCTTTCTGCTGATGTCCGTCCTGTGTGGCGGGCAGTCGCCAGCCCCCCCCCCCCTCCCCCCTCCCCTCCCCCGGGTAACGGCCCCACGTGGCCTCGAGGCAAAGCAAGCAGGTAAACGCCGGGACGTCAAGGCAACACTGATTTGCGAGTAGATGATCAAAAGGGCAAATCACCAAATGATTGCCTTCCTGTGCTAATCCATCAAGAAAATCCATATGAACACACACACTCATCATCACAAAGACTAAAACACTGGAATCTTCTTTTTTTTGTTGTTCTAATTAATATGATACGTCTTGGGCACACTTGAGGTAATTAACATTGTTTTTTTGCCAGCAACACACAGCAGATGGTGATTGAAAATAGAGGGATGAGTCGCTCAATCAACCACCATTTGTCTGTAGCCATTAATTATCTAGCGAAGAATACATTCAGTCCCCAAAGTTGATAGTTTGGGGGGGAAGAAGAATACTGTCCTTCTGTTCCTCATTACTCTTTAGCTGCAGAAAAGTGCTGAAACTAGAATGCCAGATAGGGAGATTGCGATTTTAATAGCACTGTCATTATCTCCTCCCATAAGGTGGCATATGATAAAAGGCTTGTGGGAAAAAAGATGGCGCTAACAAAGAAGCGTTCCAATAAACGGAAGCCAAGCAACATCTACTGGTTCACTCTGTTCAGATTCATCAAGGGCCACTTTGGGAGATGAGAGGGGCAGAATGCACTTTTGTTCAAGATGACGGGTCATCTGCAGTAAGTGTTTATTATATATATATATAATCTAACGAGAGCCAATGGGTCCCCTGACCGCCACACACCACGGGCCAGCCGACTCGACCAATCAGCCCTCGTTTGTAGGCACAATCTGATTGGAATGGAAGTATTACAGCATCTCGCCTGCAGCCGGCACGGCCGTGACGCGATCATGTTTCACGTGTTCGCCTCTCCCTCCAGTTCTGGCAAAGGTCCTGTTGGTTTTGCTTCACTTGAGCGTCTAATCTCAGTTTATATGAAATCCTTCCAGAAATAAAAAGGCTACAGGACAGAAAGAGAGAAAGAGACACACAAAGTGAAAGTGAAGTGCAGAGATAGCTTGATGAGAGACACTCGGGGCAGGAACGCAGCAGCACATCTTGGCATTACTTCCTTGATGTTTTTAGTTGGGGTTTTTTACACAAAAAGCTTCCTGATCTAAAATCTTGTATTCATTGTCTCTACCAGCGTTGCAGTCAGAGATAATCAGTGTCACCTAACTTTAACCAGTGGGATTGTGGAGATAAATGTTGTCGCTTCAATGTCAGTCGTTCCCGATTGTTACAGAAAGGAAATTTGTACTCTTGATGTATCTCGGTCTCGGCTGAGAGCAAAAAAAAAAAGAGAGTTCTTGATTGTAAATTACTGGTAGGACTGCTCATGTTCCACCCCACAGGCTTTAATTAACTACTCTCAGGTAGTCTGATCTTATTATCGAAGACTGCTTTTTCCACATCATAAGACCGCTGGCTAAAAGACAGCAGAAGGGTGATATTCCTTATAAAAGAGCTGCCATAGTGCAGCGTTTTGCTCTTTTAAGGAGTCCTCTACTTCTTGACCAGTGAAACGCTAACCCTTTACACATTCAAGTCACACAGCGGCAGACAAAAGCCGAATAGTTGGGTGCCATTTTCAGGATTGCAACAGCATCCGGCACCAGCAGGCCCAGCCAGATGCCAAATAGAATACAGAGAAACACATCTCAGCGGCAGCATCTCCGTGTTTGTCCCACGGAGAGCCCAGCCCCATCAAACCCCATTATCTCCAAGGCCACTACTTACTTCCAACTGGAGTAGAGATAGCTGCTTATCTACTGGTTAATAATAAAAAAGACACATAACAGATACAAAAAAAAAAAAAAAAAAAAGCCATCGTATCGTGATGGAAAAGAGAGAGGTGGGAGAGACTGAGCCGACAGGGAGCGGAGAGATTTCCAGGGACTGTTTCATTCCGCGGAAAGGGCAAGCAGAAGGAGACCTCCCGCTGTAATGCGGCAGCAGAGCCGAAATGAAAGCCAGCCGCTCTCTTCTCCGGGGCTAAACAGCGGCCTTAATAAAAAACACAATCAGACCCCCAACCTTAAAGTTTAATGCACATTCTTCCCATATTTCTCTTTGCGCCAGTAAAAAAAAAAAAAAAGACACGGTCGAAGCTCCCGGTGTGATCCCGGCTCCCAGTAGAAGATATGTGTATAGCGTGTGTGTGTGTGTGTGTGTGTATTAATAAAAAAGGGGGGTTGTTATAGTCATTTAGAAGCCCCATTGAATATCAAGCACACCATCAGATTACTATAGCTCTCCATCGTCTTAATGAAATTGTTCCCCCAAACTTTTTAATTAACTTGCAGACTCACGGTGTGCAGTCAAGTTGTGGACACAAAGACTACAGCGCTCCCTACCAGGTGATATGAATATCAAAGAGGGAAGTTACTCTGAATTAGGCTGAGTTCCTTTATTAGGGGAGAAACTTCAGAGAGAAACAGATGTGCTGAGGTCGGGCTCGTGTCATTTCTCTTTCGTCGCTCGGGCTTCCTTCAACACTTTGATATATAAGCAGAGGACGGCGGGATGGAGAATTTAATGTGAAGCCATATTTACAACATGCATTGTTTTCATGGCTTTTAAATCTTCCCGCTGAACTTCAAGGATGTCTCGTTGATGGTAATCGGAGAAAGCACAAATCACAATCATTTCACAGCGCTGAGTGAACGCCGCATGACGAAGAGACATTCATCACAGGGAAAAAGGAGATAACCGGGAAGCCACTAAAAGAAAGAATGGTATTTTTTTTTTTTCAAACACATTTCCCTTTATTGGCATGGTGAGGCTGATGAGAATTGCACATAAAAAAATGAAATTCACAAGAAAGTCGTACAATAGGTAGAACCACAAAGGCATTGGTAAGGACTTGGCAGAAGGCAACGTGGATAGGACACAAACAGGTAACGACCCCCCCCCACCCCACCCACACACACACACACACACACACACACACACACACACACACACACACACACACACACACACACACACACACACACACACACACACACACACCTGCCTAAAATCACAAACTCACACTCGCATACATGCATTTGCTCGTACACATATTGGTCCTTCCCAAAAAAACATGATTACCCAACAAACGTTTAAGCAGTGGCAAAGTCGTCAGTAGGTCACATTATTATTAAAAAGACCGCCACATTTGAAATTTGAACCATAAGGTGTTATAATATATTGCTACTCTAGGCAATTTACAAAGCATTTGTTTTTTACAATGATTAAAGCCACATCTATCAAATGGGACACGACACCATTACCCAAACGCTAAACAGACAGCAAAAAAGTAAAACAATGCCTTGAAACACAGGTAGAGGTTGTTGGGTTTTTTTTTTTTAATCTTTCCCCTGATCAATTCTTGCCTCCTTAGATCACAAATTTTATCCGTTTCTTGTCCCTCTACTGACTCTATGAAAGGAAGCTTTCTTTCAAAAGACTTCTCTGTCCCAAGATGGAACCTGCTTCTCTCATTACTCGGCTCAAGCTAAGAACGGGATATTAATTGAACCAGAAACCGCAAGGTTACCTTTTGTGTCATGTCGACAGCGGGGTGATATCTGGACTGTGAGTGGGGGGTGGTGTTTGGAGGGGGGCCGGGTGGTGATGGAAAAGGGTTCTGGCATGCGATACATTGTTGAGTAGTTTTCTCCAGGCTTATAGAATGTCATTTAAAATCTGCCAGTTAAGACAGCTGAGAGGCAGATATCCAAAGTGGTTTACACTGTACCGACTGTCGTCCTGTAATAGCCATGCACTACACAACAAACAGTTTTAACTCGACACATTTTACACACACAGGGTGGAGTTAAGAGTCAGTCACGTTTGCACAGATGTCACAAGGTAATGCGTGCATTACAATTACATAGACTCAATTACATCTTAAAGGGTAGAGCGGGAGGCGGGAGCGAGGACATTCAAGTTTTACCGCACGGTGATGAAATGCCAAGGTACTGGAATGGAGTCATCCTATCTCCCAGCGAGTGGGTAATGGGTGGTCCAAAAATCACACACCAATAGGAGCTAAAATACACCTCTGAAAAATAATTTATTGCTTTTTATATATTTTTTTTTCTTTCATTTATATTTTTATCATTGTTTTTATTTATCTTTTTATATATATATATATATATATATATATATATATATATATATATATATATATATATATATATATATATATATATATATATATATATATATATATATATATATATATATTGTACATCAAATACCAGATCTTTAAAAAATTCAGGAAAAGGAAACTGTAAACTTTTGTTTGGCATTCACATAATCAAGCATGAGTGGAGCGATGACAACAAGTGTTTACAGTGATATAACAAAATTCCTGCAAAATCATTTTATTGCTTCATGTTCTGCTTCTGTGTGTAAAGAAAAAAACAGCGGGCTGTAGACGTGACCAATGGTGGAGACAGAAATCACTAAAATGATGAGGGTCTGACTGCTGGAGTGATTAGCTGAATGTTCTGATTGTTTTGGAAAGGCATAGAAGGTCATTATTATCCCCACCAAACCATTTATTGTACCCCCTGTCTAGTGATTGTAAGTTAAATAACACAAATCATAGGACAACAAAAACACTACATACATTTTGTGAGGTACGCCATGTTAAATGGAGCCCATAAATATTATTGATTCGAAGATTCAAATAAATAGATAAATATGTGTATGCACGGATTTAAAAGATTTGAATGCAGAATTCGCTTTCACCGAAGGTAATCAAAAGGAGAACCATACAAAGCAATGCAATCAACAGAATATACGCGTGTGTGTGTATATATATACACACAAATATATATATATTGATTGCTTCAGAAATAATTAATAAAAAATGGGGTACCTTTTTTACAATCATGAAAAACATGTAAAAATGCATTTTACACTTGTTTTATAAGCAAAAACACTGATTGAGAAACTTTATAAACAGAGAAAACTATACATGGTTGACTGTTTTTTTCCCCAACAAAATAAATTAAAAAAAAGGACATTTGTTCACATGCTCCCTCAAAATGAGCAGTCGGACATATCTTTTTTTTTCTTTTTTACAATCATATCATGTCTTCTAAACATCATGTAGGTGTACAATATGTTTTACAGTATTGTAATTACCACAGATCGACATTCTGAATTAAGAAATTGTCTCCTCATTTTAAAAAAAGGCTGCGTTTTACAGTGCATAGCTGTAACAAATAAAGAACTTTATCCGATATGTACATAAAATAAAAATATTCCTTTTTATAATATTTGTAAATACATGGCTACATTTCTTCTTTAAATGTAGACAACAATGTTACCTTGAGAATCTTACCTCGACGATGCAATTCCCTACACTCTTGTTTGTAACACTATATCCAAACACCAGATTTAAAAATAAACAAAAATCAACAGCAAAAGGAAAAACAAATCTGGCTGAACAAGCTGCATGTTTTTACCCTCAAAGGATTGTGGGCCTTGTAGTGCTTGGAGAAAAAAAATCATGAAAGTTTTTTTCTTCTTCCTTCACTGATGGTTGTACAGCAGTAGAGTGCACCAAACGTGTGCATCAGGTTCTGAGGGTTCACTGGCTTTCCCAGAATGCAATGTCTCTTCCCAGCTCTTCAGCAGCTATGTTCATGTAAACTTTATTTGTGATATATTCATTTATATTGATATAGGTCTATAGACTTAATCTTATATACTCTATGACATAGAGCGTAAAACTTCTGGTAGTCTCGTCCTCAGAGGAGCGAGAAAACAACAGTGAGGTATCAGAAGTCCCTCTTGTGACAGACAAGCAGGTGCCGCTGAACTGGTTACCTTCTCAGGCTGCGCTGGGCCTCCCTCAGCAAGCTGTCAAAATCCATGGAGTCGTACTTGCTTTTGGTGGAGGCGGGATCAAAGTCGTCCGAATGGGAGTCTGAAAGCGGGGAGGAGGATTGTGGTCAGTGCGGTGCTTCTCCCAACATGGACTTAAAACATTAAAAAAATGTCACTTCGGATTCCTTAATATGACCATTCGATGGACTTGATAAAAGTCCACCCCAGCCGTAGCTGCATGTTTACACTGCAACCTTTTTACCAGAACCAAATCATGGATACAGTGCTGGAAGGGAGGCCCGAGATGAGAGAGCTGTCCTTCTGTCTGTCCATTCCGCACATGCCCTATTTTTCCTGATCAACCTGATAATACATTGAGTACCTTATCTCTGCCAACAGACAGCTTCAAAAAACGGGGCCTCCAAAGGGCCCAGCAGCACACTCGAAGAGCTTTGAGAAATGGGAATGACCATGGCAGCAGGAAGGCGCCAGTCGTGATCTAATGCAATGGCCGAGGGCTGGATTATGTCACATTGCGCACCTTGAGGGATGAAAAACACCTCGACGCTCTACTTAAAACTAATGGACAGTGTCTCAGAACACACAGAAAGGATGCGAGGGCCGACAAGATTGAGAGGGACGGGGGAAAGGTTTGGATACGGCGCTATAATAAGATCCCCCTCTTCCCTCTTCAATCTCTTTATCCTGCGCTATCAGTATGGGGACAACCAAAATAGCCTGTTCCTGACAAAGAGGGCAGTCGAATGAAGGCTCTTTCTCTTTCAACAAGACTGATTAGTCAATCTCAGCATAATGTCTTCGCTGAAGGCTCTAGGATTAGCAACTGTTTCTCTACGTGTCAACTCCTCATCATGCCCTCTCTTTAAAAGCTGATAGCTTCGAGCACGTGCTTGGAAAATGTATAGCAAGCGCCTCATTGATGGAGGAAAGTGCTCTGTTTCTCCCATTGACCCTCTTGTAGCACTACCTCATACGTTACTGACCTCCTGTTTTGCTAGTGAGGAAACAGCGGGAGCAAAACTGGCCGCAAATGCACGAGTCAATACCTATCTTGGATGTCATGGTGGGGGGGGGGGGGGGTGTCTTTTGTGCGTGTGCAACTCTTGACATAATGGGGCATCTCTTGCAAACTTCACTATGGCTCCTCAATTATCACAACCATTATGATTGTGCAACTGACAGAGGAGAGGAAAGTGCTTTCCTTTAATGTGGGTCAACACAAGAAAAGAACATTGATTTCATCCATTTGAGCACAGCCTTCTGACTGAGATTCATCTATCTGATCAATACAGGAGCTAAGTTCATACTTCGGCCACATACGCGCATGTTTACTCATAAGTAATCACTGAGGCTCGGTGTATTCTGCAATACTGCAGTCTGCCATGACGCCCTGACTCCCTACCAAAGCAGTAAGTGTGCAGAAATTGGTAACAAAAATTGGTATGCTCCCACAGTGCCCCCCCCCCCCCCCCCCCCCCCCCCCCCCCACCCCCACTAAGTAAAATGGCCGGCCCCTACCTGCCATATTAAGTCTCTGCCTCCTTTCAGCGCTGTAACAGCTGGCAACAGATGGAACGTCCCTATAGAGAAGGGAGGGGTTGCTGGGAGTTAACCTTGCTCCCACCTTCTTCTTCCTCGCCTCATCTCTTTTCCTGTCTTTCGCCTAACACGCCTTTCTCCCTGTAATTTCATCTCTACTCCTCCCTCCTGTTTGCCATTCTCTTAAAGTGCCCCCCACACACACACACATATATGTACAGCTATATCTATAGACATACAATGGCAGAGGAAAACCCATCTGCACACATGCTTTTAAGTGCTACCGCTCTTGCATTTTAGATCACCAAGCTAGAAAGAAGCATCTCAAGTCAACATGAGTAATGGAGTGTGCCTGGTTTTCTTCATGATACTTCATCTACCAACAGGGAGGAAATATAGCTCTATTCTTGGTATGTTTCCAGAGTGACCTCTGAACCCCCCCCCCCTTAAAGACACGAATGGCTGGGGGACACATTCAGCGCTGTAGGAAGTGTTACCCGCGCGGATATTAATCTCTTCGGATCTGGAAGCGTGGCTCCAGCATATTTTTGAGGTCTTATCCCCTCCCGGACCCGACACTTTCTCTGACAGTCCTCCCAGCAACGGGAATATACTGCACGCCTGCAGGGGACAGATGCAGAGAACAACAGCTGCACTTACCCAAGTCGGTGTAATGTGATTTGCAGAACTGCTTCTGTCCGCCAAAGCAGAGCTCGAACTGAGGCTCGTTTGACCTGCGTAAGGTGTGCCCGTTCTCAAGGGCGGCAAAGGCGTCACAAGTGTAGCGGTACGTGATGAAGCCAAAATTGTCCCTGGTGGAGAATAGAAAACGATACGTCAGAGCGGTGCAACAATAAGCAAACAGGGCGACTTGGTCTTAGATGACGATCACGCTATATATATGCAAAAGAGAATCAATAAAAGTGTATCTTTGGCGCTCCGTAGGCTAAGAACTAGGTGGATCAGGAGATGGTGAGACTGCAAAAGCCCTGTCTTTGTCTTACACTTGCCTTTGCACGAAGTTAAAAAGTAACAGCAGAACATTTGTACGTATTGCATGACATCCAGAGGGGAGGAACACACGTTCACTACCCCCCTACATGAATACCAGGCTACTGTATAGCTGCGCACACATGCAGAGAAAATCCCGGGGCCTTACCCGTCGTCCCTCAGGTTCACTGCACATTCTTCAATTTCGCCAAAGACTTCAAAGCGGCGCTTCAACTCTGTCCGGGTGCAGTCGGACCTCAGTCGGCCCACGTACACCACCCGTCTGTCCTCCTGCTCGTTAAGAGGAAAGACAGAGCGGAGGAAGGAGATTAAAAAGGGGAGTCTGTTTTCTCTTCCCCCTCCCTTCTCTTTCTTCACTGAGCCCTAATGAATTGGTCCTGATCACTCCTGTGGATACTGCAGAGCTGACTTTTCGGCCCCTGTTTTTGTCCCCCTTCTCTGTCTGTCTGCTGTGTTTCTCTGTGATTGGTTCCGCCTGCTTCCCGTTATCTGATGGAGTTGCAGTTCGGAAGCGCCCTCGGTCTGCTTTGCCACCACAATTTCTCTTTCTCACTGCAACTCATCAACCAGAGGCAGAGTGATTTTTATCAAATGATGCCGTGTCTTAAGTTCGCTCAAGTTCGTTGCTTCTTCTTTTGCAAAAAGGGCTAAAAATAAAGCGCTGAGGTGACTCAGCTACATGACCGAAAAGCCTCTTTCACAACGCGCATTGAACTAGGCATGGTCAGTTAATAGTGTAAAGATATTCATATCCAAGAGCGAGGGAGCATTAAAAGCAGCAGCAGCGAGCCACGGGGTAAAAACATGGATTTCCTTCAACCTCAGAGGACGCAAGGGTCATAGCAGAATAATTTACGAACAAATTGCACAAGGCTGCAATTATGGTGTTTGAGTACTTTAATTGCATATGCTAATCATATAATGCAGCTCAAGCTTGGGGCTATAGTGTCTCACTAGTATTATTTATTTATTCATTCATTTACTTGCCATTACTGGGGCAAGTCCACTGAGGCCCGTTGAAATTTGGAATGCTGTCTCGAGGTTAGTAGTGGCTCCAACAAGTAGTAAATCAGTGGCCTGGTGTTAAACTCAAAGTTGACCTTTGCCCCGTCCGACTAGAGTCGCTGAGAACGATACAAATTAACTACAGATTACTGGTTTTAATGCTTTTCTTTCCGCTCCCTACAAGGCTTACGTACAGTATGAGACAGAAAGAGTATTTGCTGAATTAGGGGTTTAGCTGCTGACAACTGATAAATAGGCGGCCTTCTCGCGATGCCCCCCCCCCCCGAGGGCTTCCTATGTGTGTGGGTGGGTGAGAGAATGAGGCAAAAGCAGAGCGAGGGAGAGACAGACGGTGCGAGACGCTTTCACATCCCCGGCCTCTCAAACCTCGCTCGACAGCCAGAGCTCCGCCGCTCGTAATCGTCTCTGAACATGTCCGCGTGCCGAGCGCCGTTGCATCACTGCGTCTTTTAATGTATGCTTTATCAACAAGTGGCGGCGGCTCTGCCCCGCTGAAAAGGCGGATTCATTTCCCACCGGGACGTGCAGAGCTCGAGCGATATGGGAGGTACACTTCATCAGGCAGAATTTTGAAGTGGATTCAGAAGGAAAAAAGCTCAACAGAACCACTGGCCGTTTCCTTTTCTGTCCTTTTCCTCCGTCTTGCACTCTCCCCGTTCTGTTTTGCACTATTTTAACATTTTACCCCTGTGGTGTGATTAATAAGAGTGGACAGTGGCTGCAGACAAGGGAGATGTTAAAAATACACAACCCCCGAGATAAAAAGGAAGGGCCTGTCGCCTGAATCATTCAGGGAGTTTCAGCAGGGTGGCACATGGAACCGGGCTGGAGGATCTCTCATTGCGAGCGATGCGCGTGTGTCTGCGGGAGGTCTCCTTGTGTTTGCATGAATCTCTGCACGTGCCGAGCCGGTGACTGCGTGCCCTCTTTTCTCAGCGGCTGCAGCCAAGACTCAAAAAAAAAAAAGGGGGACGCATGCGGCGAGGGTTTGTGTCAGTTGACTCACTATTGCCTTTTGTTTTTGCCTCTCTCTTTGCTCGGCCCGTTCGAACTCCCGCTTCTCGTAGTCCCGGCGGTACTCCTCCCTCTTCAGCCTCTCGTGCTGGTACTCCTCGTAGCTGTCATACCTGCTGAGAAAAGCATACGCATGACATGACTGTCCTCGCTCGTCCTCTAAATGCACCCTTCCCGCCGGTGACCGCGAGGAACAATTGCCAGTATTCACCGAGGAGCAGTCCCCTTATTTTCAAAGGAGCGGAAACGGACATGTTAATAAGACGTCTCCCTGTCGCTGCTGTGATTACGGAGCCCACGGGACAACACCCGCGGGGGCAGCGCGGGGAGCCGGGCAGCTGCGACTGTCAGCACAACTTCACATGTCATTACTTTCTGCTTAGTTAGGGCTTCATCAAGAAGGAAAGTGCAACTTTCTCCCCGCACCCCGGACCGGCACGAGACGTGTCCGTTAGGTTTCCAACTGATGAGCGATTCTCAGGCTTGTCGGGTGTCATTAGGCCCGTGGGTACCAAATCAGCTCGGAGCGCCGAGATGGTGTCAGTCTCCCTCTTTTCTTCCCGCACTGTGACAGGACTCCTCTGCATATGAAATGGTCCCGTCTGCGGTGGCTCACGGAAAACTACACAGCCACTGAGTTCAATCGCTGTCATTATACAGTTGGGACTCCTCAATCGGTGGGATTTTAGGAATATTTTGTCACTTGTCCAACAAAACATGATCAATTAAACATATTTGCCCCCAATGTTTGTCACGTGCCCCCCCCGTGTGGATGTGACGTGCTGTCGAAAGTTGCAGTCTAAATGCGTAAAGGGAATGAAAGAGTGGTGACTTTCAGCGCAGCGGGTTGTGGTGACTGATCCTTCCTTGGCAACCACACTTTCTCTTAAACTTGGCCAGACTGTTTCTAGGAATAAATGTTTGTGGTAACCTAAAGAGTAGTGAGTTAATGTTGATGCATAACGAAGTTCTAAGCCGGAGGGGAAATTATTCATTTAAATAATCACCTTGGCCTGCGGCTGAGAGGAGATCGAGACTGAGGGTGGGGGCTTTTGTGAGTCCTGGAACGGAGGGTGCTGGAATCTGTGTTATGACGAGACCTGTGGGGGAAAACAGAACATGTGATACATGGAATTATTATTTTTAGCAACACATAGGAATTCTGCTCACCCCGCACACAGCAAACTGGTTTACATGAATCACGGAATTTACTGATGACTCCTGAAAACGTGTGACACCTTGCTTAATTTGTTCTAGGCTTTGGGATCCAAATTAACCTTTTTGATTTCACAAGACCCATTTAGACGTTAGAAAATAGGTTAATTCCAGATGAAAGCATTCTGTATTCTCCTAATCTAGCTCATGGCCACATTAAGAGTGCGTGATTTCCCCCAGCACTTCTATACACGCCCGCACTGGCACCTACATACGAGCACCTGCTATCTATGTTGTATGAGGAAATGGTCAATACTCGACACCCCAGTGACTCGGAGCTTGTATCTCTGCAGCCCGTGAGCCTCGGGTGCTTAATTATTGAAGTGTTGCTGAAGAAGCAGGAGCTGAATGATGGAGGGGGAGAAGTTTGTGAGGCTTGGAGAAGCAAAGGAGTGCCACTTTTGAAAGATCGAGGATCCTACGCTGTGAAAGTGGAGAGCTGAAATTCTACATTTATCTTTTCCTCCATAAAAACATACCCAAGCCTCTTGTTCTATTTTTTTTTCTCCAATTCCTATGCAGCATTTTCAGAAGGCTTGTCAGTGTCAGATTCTGATCCATTGCATGAGACAATTACTGTAGAATTTGCTACAGAATCTGATCGAGTCAGTGTAGAGCACAAGAACAAGGGCCCGGGCAGAGTAACGTGATTCTATTGGCTCTCTGTGGTGAACTGACCTTTAAGTAATCAGGCAAACAAACTGAGTCACTGCAGCGGAGTCCTGCACTGGGAGGCACTCAATGGACTAGTACAGACAAACTTAATTTACTCACATCCTTCTCAGTAAGTATGCCCCCCCCACTCCCCACCACACCCCTCCCTCCATAGACAACGCAGACAGAAGCCCCCGCAGCACTGATCAAAGGGAAGCATGGGAAATGTAGTTCTCACACGGAGCTATGATGATAGGAGTCACTTTTTAAAGAAGGGGTGGGGGGGAGACTACATTGCCACAGTCTGGATTTGGCTTTCATCTGTGGGGATTTAAAAAGAGGACGGTTTGCCACTCAGTAAAAACAACAGCTGCCGCTTAAAACAACAGCCCCGGCATCAAACGAAAAAAAGAGCAGGAGCATGTGAGGGAGAGAGTGGGGCGGGGGTCCGGAAGACTTTCAAATAAACGCCTTGTTTTGAGATTTAAACGCATACTTTTCAGAAGTCCAGTGCCTCTGGCGCGTTTAATGCTCCGTTTTATGTCTTTGTGGCTCATTGAGTGTTTGGGGGGAAAACACACCATTCAACAAATCGCCCCGTGCCCCTGTTTTAAAAGGCAGAGCTTGATTGGTATACTAACTGCAGACACGTTGGTAAGAACCCCTCTAACACGGCCTGTCAAATCGGTTTGTGTCATCTGTTCTGCATTCAGACCAGACAAGGAAAGAAGCAGCGGGTCAAGAACCCGTGCTGAGAGTCTCCAGGAACTACACCGTGTGACACCAGCTCTGATGACTGATCGGGCCTGTTTCACACTCCTAAGCTGGATCCCCTGCCAGCTCCAAGCTCCTGTATGAACCGCATGGGAGGGGAGCAGCGGAGCTCAGCGAAAAGAAGTGGGAGGTTTTGAGAGACTACTTACGAGGACGGGCGTCTGTCAGGTGAGCTGGAGAGGGAACGTCTCCGATGGTGCGAGGAGGAGCTGCGGGAGCCAGAGTGGGACCGAGAGCGGGACCGGGATCCACTGCTGGTCCAGCAGAAAGGCCTGCTGGGAGAGAGGAGGAGGGAGGAAGGTGGGGAGACGGAGCCTCGTGAAGGGGAGCAGCTGGATGGTGGGGAACAGGAGGGAGAACAGGGAGGGCAGTCAAAGAGAAGGTCCAGAGGGGTGCCCTCCCAGGGATAGAGGAAGCGACCCTCGCGGCCCTCACCCAGCTCTAGCTCATCCTGGAAGGGCAGGAACCCCGGGTGCAGGTAGCTGGAGCCGGGCGGCCTCTGGGAGTGGGAGCCATTCTCTCCCTCCTCAGGGGACATAGCGGCTGCAGCCTTACTTGGCCTGCTGCCGGGTTCTCTCTCCTTGGCACCCTGGCTATAGAGGGCATGTAAAGGGGGGCCAAAGTGCTTGTTGAGCTCTTCTCGGATTTTCTGGTCACACAGGAGCTTCCTGCTGAGGGCAGAAGAGTGGAGTAGGTTCCAGTCACTAGTGGCCTCCTTTGAGGGGATCTGGGGGGTTCGTGTCAGGGTCTGCTTCCCTAACTCCTGGATGCGCGGCGCTTCTCCAACCGCAGAGGCGACATTTTGCTGCTGAGCCAAACGACCGGGTGGAGCGGATAATGTAGAACGAGAAGATGAAGAAGATGAGGAGGATGGCGGCATGGCTGAGTCCTTACATTCGACATGCCCGTCCCCCACTATGCCTGCAGTGGGCACTGGAGCAGCGGTGGCACCCGAGGTGACCGTCATTACCGCTGCTGCTGGAGTCACGGTAACAGTGGCTGTGCCGCCGTCCCTCTTAGTGCTGGCCGACCCCTGGCAATAGTCATGGTCACTGTAGCCGCGGGGCACCGCCCGCTTATTGTTGCTAGTGCTGCGATGCTCCTCAAGGTCGCACCTCACAGTGTGTTGGGTGACCGAGTAAGGTAGGGCGGTGGACGCTTTGCTCAGCTGAGCATAAAGCTCAGTCTGTTCGGGGCCCTTCCTGGTGGGGACCCCGCTTGAGGCACCCGGGGCTGGGGCCAGAGCGCCGGGACCCGATTCGCTCAGCCTGGCTCTCTTGCATGCCAAGGCTGATGAGGAACATGAAGACAACTTGGTTTTGAGCGATGCTTTGAAAGGATTCTCTTGACTGGCTTTGTGTGGTGGCGTGGTTGGTGGTGTCAGACCTGCGGAGGGAGGAAGAGAAAGAGGTTGGTGGAAGGGTGGGGGCAGTAAAAGGGAAATGGAATCATAATGCAACCTCCCCATTGATCCCCCTCTCCCTCCTCCCTCCAGTCATCTATAAACCTCCAGGTCTGTTTATGGACAGTGGACACAGACACATGCCTGATTAAAATATTCACTTTCTGTTGGCCTAATGCTGATCTCTATTTTATGGCAATCTTGACAGATTAATGTAATGCTTGATGTAACTTAATATTGTGGTGCTGTAATACAGATGACCTGCCATCCCCTTCCTCTCCGACCTTGGAAAGATCCCTTTTCATGAATGAAAAAAAAAAACACAACACAAAGCCCTGCAGAGGACAAACGTAATGCACCCGGAGAGAAAACTAAAGTACGCGTATCATATCTCCGCCTTGCTCACATAAATGTCCGCACTGGACAGCAGCCAATTCGTCTGAATAAAACCAAAGATGTTTTTTATCGGCCTGAAACAATAATAACTGTCACGGCGCCATGCATGTTTTGATTATGATTATCCAGCACAATGTCCCTTTTCTTCATAGGAGCACAGGAAGCACTGGCAAATGGGTCGTCGTTCTTCTCAGAAGGCATGATACTTGTGTGTCCCCCCCCCCCCTCTCCCCTCCAAGTATCCCCAGCCCCTTACAGATTTACAACCAGACAGATGGCAGTTATATAGGAAGTCCTGAGATGAGCCCACTTTATAGCACTGTTAATGCACTCACACAAACAGCCGCCACTATTACTCTTTCTCTCTTTCCTTTAGTCGTGTATGCTCCCTTTCCCTCTCTTCCTGGCAGTCATCTTCCCTGGATCAATCTCTATTTCTCCCTTTCCGTCTCCCTGCATCCGATCCTGTTTCTGTCTCACGCAGAACAAATGTGCCCACACACACACACACACACACGCACACAAACTCGTCACTAACAGGAGTCAAACTCCACTGAGCGGCTTTGAAACACCTACGCTCTCCCGTTTTCTTTGCCTTCCTTACAATGCACATCATTCTTTGCACCAGATAGACGCTATTAGTCTCAAATCCAGTGAGAAGAGTATGCACTAAAAATGCAAGTTTGTGAAACCACTTGCGATGTTTGGGATGCCTAATGCAATGGCTTTTCATCCTTCTGATTATCTGAAGTGTCCATGAGTAGGACTGCAAGCTCCACTTGCCCGTTGTACCCCCTTTTCCCCAGTTCTGAAGGTGACATAGACATGGATTTGCACTGCCGATGGAATGAGCTGAGAAGAGAAGAAAGGAGAAAAGGAGGGGTACGCTACACTTCTATTTCACCAACGAAGCGCCATCTGTCCAAAACAACGTGCGGGTGGGGTCATAAACCGGGAGCCGTTAGCAAAGGGGGGGGGTGAAATAAATCACCATAGATAAATATGTTCGTCTCAGTCAAACCCACTAGGATGGATGATCTGATCATGCAGCCAGCGGAAAGGAAGCAGAGGAGAATAAAAAGAGGAATCTTTTTGTAATCTTTTTCTCTCGTGCAGCTGTAAGTTGCAAGGGGACCTCGGAGCGAAAAAACAACTGTGCTTAAAGAGTTGATCCGGGCGGTAAACCATGCAAATAGCAACACACGGACCAGCCCGGTGTCATGAGATACAGTAATTAAAGACAACGCAACAGCACAGAGTAAATCTATTAGCTTTGCCAGGGCAGTCAGATCCCAGGTGGCCTCACTGCTAGTTGTAACCTTTTCTCAGTACAGTTTCTCCTGATAATCAGATTGATCTTTCTCTGAAGCAGTAACCAATAATACTACGAAGCAGTAAACAATAATACTACTACAACTCAAGCAATTCACGGAAAGTTCCATTGAGGAGTTGTAGACCTGCCTTGAAGCAGGAGGGTGGAGCGCACTGTTGGCTCACCTCCACCTCGTTATCAGTACCACCGCCATCATTTTTATTGTGGTGGAATGTTACTGTAAATCTGCAAAGGACATGTAACTCCTGACCTCAAAGCTCTCACCTCCGCTTCCCGGAATCCATATCCACCTGTTTCATGCAGCAAGAGACTTCAAAAGCTAATCTCTAAGTAGGGAAGGGGCTCACTGACTTTATTAGTAGTATTCAGTATTCTGGACTAATGATTTTCCTGCAAATACTCAACCATACATCAGCGGCGGACTGTAAAGTCAGGCAAAGGGCTTTATTTGACTGCGCTTGTAGGGCAGATGCAGTGGAACAGAACGGTCGCCGAGACTCGGCCACGGGTCAATAAACTCACCCACGTGCAGTAAAATAGGAAGAAATATTAACCGCGTCTGATTGCCCCAGACCTTAGGCAGCCATGCTCTTTCCCAACCGGCATCCCCTTTGACCCCAGGAGCTCAGGTACATAAAAGGGTTAAACATCCCTCGGAGGAGGGTCAGAGGGATGGGGGGGGGGGGGGGGGGTTCTCTCATTGTCTAATGCGCCCCGATTTCCATCCCCCACACGGGATAAGTAAGTAGAAGGTGCACGGGGCAGACATGAGGTATGTATGAGGACAATTTCCCCGGCTAGTAAATGAATACCCAAAGGGGCCAGAGGAACATCACACAGTGTGAGAGGCCAAAGGGCAGCCATCTGTTTTTATTGACCTCAAATGATTATTCCGGAGGAGAAGGTGGTAATTACTGACATTGTTCATGCACAGAGAGATAAGAGAGATATGACATTTAATAGTGCAGCTTTTGCCGAAATTCACTTCATTTATTGTCTTGTGATTACCTTTTCTCTATAGCTGTCTTGAAAACGTAGTTAATTATAACTCACTAACACACAAAGATGATGGCAATAATGATGCTGACTACAGTTACAATACAGCATCCTTTGCATACAGGTCTTAACATTGCAAATTGACTCCCCAGTCAGCTGATCTAATTGCAGAATCGTCTGGGGGGCCTAAGGACAGGACGGCACGGATCATACAGGCAAAACCAAATTACACCGCAAAACCAATTAAAACAATAACACTGCCATTTCAATTTTCCTATGATGTGTAGGCTAAGTAAGCTGTCAGTCAGAGAGCATTAGGATCTGATAGAGGAAGAGGAAAAGCATATTAACTGTTCAGTAAAAGGGCAGGGGGAGTGGTGGTACGGGAGGGGTTTGCTAATAAACCCTGAAGAGATTGGATAGACTAATCAATAGTAAAGCACATAAAAATGTTCTCCTTTACCTTCACCTTGAACTTTGAACTGTAATGGAACTATCAAGATGTTGGAAATGCTGGTCTTAATACTTAAGAAGCTACAACAGAGAGGTGAGAATTGTCACTGACTAGTCTCTCTCTCTCTCCTATATATATATATATATATATATATATATATATATATATATATATATATGTGTAATACTGCGTTTAAATGGTCAGAAAAATATGCTTACCTGGGGTTCCAGCAATCTCCACACTTAATGTGCGTTCAATGGTTTTGTTCTCATACGGTGATCCCTTGTGGTCACTGGAAGACAAAAAAAAGGTGCAATTTTTTACTCCTCGGGTGACAGTTAGAGCGCAAAAAGCTTTTGTGATCAAAGAAATGGAAATGAGTCACACAAATGCCTCATCTTGGATTCTCATTTATATAGATTTCTTTCGATTTGTTCTTTTTACGGAGTTTTTTGTCGCAATTTTTTGGCCTAGAATAACGGGGGAAAAACTTCTCACACTTACTTTGGAGACTCTGGGGTCAAAGGAAGTGGCAAGGTGGTTGGTTTGGCTGCAGAACACAAAGGAGCATGTGTAATTATTGACCTAGGTATAACACTCAGGGCAGAAGAGAAAAGGTCCACATTCTGCAACAATTAATCTCAATTTGGCTCATTAAATGCAATTATTGTTAAAAAAAAAAGACATCCATACTTGGTTAGAAATTATTTTTATGGACACTATTGTGAAAACCACATAGTTTGAGATTGACCCCGTTTCTATTGACGGCGGTAACTTAGACTGTCCTCTCGAATAAGGAGGATCAACTCATGGTAGGTGTTTTCGCAGAAGTCGAGACACAGACTTAGCGAACTCGAGACAACAAACGGGATCATAATTGGAGTAAAGACATAAAGAGACGATTGCCACAAAACAAGACACATGACAGTGGGTGAGCCCCTCTCTGTTCAAAAAAAAAAAGGTCATAATGGCATGCACCCAACAGCAGAGGAGGGGAATAAAAGAAGGAAGAAAGGAGAGTCAAGGAAGCTTGTGCAGTTGCCCGAGGCTCTGGCCGACTTGTGCTCCAGCTAAGGGAACGTGGCTTTAGTAGCACGCGCTGGAGAGCAGCTCCTGGTGAGGCTCTAAACGAACGTATTCGCCACACTCGGCTCAATCAGCCCAAGAGGGTTCAGGGGTCGACTTTGTGAGTACAGAACGTACAGAAGCAAGACAAGGGTAGTCCTTTTTCCCACCACCTACTTGTTTTTAATTGAATTCTATTCAAATAGAGAATACCTGCAACGTTTGTTGTCATTGTGTGTTCCCTCAGATTGGCTGTTAGTTTTACATTAGAATAGGAGTTAGTTGTAAAGTCAAACTGGGAAGTGGTTAGAGCAGCAGAGGGAGAAGAGAGAGCAGAAATAAGGCCAGTGGGGGGGATGCAGTCATGATTACCTAACAACGGGAGGCCCTGGTCGTCGGGGTGCTCGCTGAGTGCCTGCCTGTGTGGGTGCCCTTGCCCTTGTATGATGCAGGGAGGGGCGGGTTCTGCAATTCTAGTATCTGGGAAGAGTGGGCTTGTTGGGCCCTGTGAGAGCACTGCAGCGGGGCCGCCCATAGCATTGTCTTCATCATCAACACCGCCACCACCACCACCATCTTCATCATGGTCAACATCCTCCCCATAGAACCCCTGGTTTAGCCACCGCAGCTCAAGTCCAAAGCCCATATCTAGCCCCGAGTCTGGCTGGTTAACCCAGCTCTCTAGGTCAAAGGCTAGAGGTGACAACAGGGACCCTGAATCAGGCTCTTCAAGCTGACTTACTCCCTGGTTCCTACTGTCATTGGCCCCTTCCAACTCTTCAACCTCCACCTTTGTGGGAGCTTGTGCTGGGCTCTTAGACCTCTTACCTGCCGATTTGCTCTGAATGGTGGCTGAAGGGGTGATCTGAGGTGGGAGTAGGTGGGCTCGATACCGAGCAGGCCTCTGCTTGGAGGTGAGCAGCTGGCTAAGTAAGGGGTGCCCCGGCTTCTCGTCCCTTTTCCTAATAGTTACCGTGACGTGTCTGTGTGGTGCGCGGCTGGCACCTCTACTCGTTCTACGGCCTTGCCTGCCAAAGCCCTCACTAGCCTGAGTGGCGCCCTCAGCCTCTCGGCAATGCTCACAGCTGTGACTCACCTCTCGGGGAGGGAGGGAATAAGAATGCATATACCTAATAAACCTAGCCGCGGCCAGGCGGCCCACATCGCCTGGCGGCCTTCCTTCTTCACCGGGCGGCCCGTGCTCCAGTTTGGTGCGGGCATGGCCGCAGGTGGAGGCTCTGTGGCCGACAGGGATAGAGGCGCCCTCCGACTTCTCAACCCCGTCATCGTGAGCGCAACGCTGCCACTTCCCAGCCCCAACACCAGCCACACTACACTGGGCTGCAGCCCGGCTCTCACCTCGCTGGTGATGCTGTGGTGCCGGCTGTTGCTGCTGCTGCTGCTGTTGTAGTTGCTGCTGTTGTTGTTGTTGTTGTTGTAATTGATGTTGTTGTTGTTGCTGCTGTTGTTGTTGTTGAGATGGCACAGCTGACTTCTTCTTGGAGGTGGTGGAGGAAGACGAGTTAGACGAGAGGGAGGAGAACGAGGAGGTGGAGGATGAGGACGGCGACGACGAGGAGGAAGAGGCACCCAGACCCAGGCCGCTCTTGTCCCGGCTACTGGCACCCCCCCAGGTGCTCTTTGCTTCGCTGGCTTTGGTGTGGAGCAGGATGTCATCAGTGGCTGTTAAGTATTTCAGCAGCTCAGTGCAAGGCCGCCTCACCGGGCGGTTCTGTTGGCTGGAACCCCCTCTTGCTTTGCCATTCCAGGGGCTCTCCGTCTGTACGAAAAGAAGGATGTAGAGGGTTTTTCATTAAATGAGTTTGCTTTGACAAAAAAAAGTTTATTTGCCACAGAAATACGGCTATCTGAGTCCCTCTTTTAGGCTCTGAAACAGGGACTGAGGCGGCCTGAGCACAGCGGTTAGCCAACTGGCTGGGAGGCGATGTTGGGGGTGCGGTCCGCCCATCATCTTAATTGTGTGGCCCAGCGAACACCACCGCGCGCACAACGTCCTCCGGGAGGCCTAATTCGCTGTGCTCCAGAAATGGATGACTCAAAGGCACAGCGCGAAAATAGACTATGGGAGGAAGGTGCCAACATTGTATGCTTAACACGCACAGAACGCTGTGAATATGTTGTGTTTACCACAAACTATGATCGTACACAGTTGCTTTTTACATTCAGAGGAAATTTAACATCAAACGTGTCTTCCCGAAAACGACAACGAATTATGACGTGATGTGTGTCGTGCGATGTGAATGCTGAACATACAGCGCGCCGCGTTACGAAATGAAACTTAAACCGATTACTGAAATCCCACACTTTATTTAGTCACACAAACCTATGACACTCACAGTGGCTAAAATCAATCTTAAATCAACCCAGTTCCTTTCAACAACAAAGAACCGACTTTGAGAGCGGTCTAACGAGACCATCAAGGCTGATATTTTGATCTTGTCCGCTCAAGGCACCAATCTCGCCCGCCAGAGTGCCTGTCGCTGGTTTTTCTTTTTTCTCCAACAGGCATCATACCAAGGCGGTTAAGTGGTGGAGCTAATGAGACAACGGTGCCGATGCCTCGCTGGAAAGCCCAACAGCAATCAGCCTGTTTTCATTACACGGTGGCCCCCTGGGATGGCAGACTGGAGCAGTAGTCTAACATCTTCTAAAGGCGGCCACCAAAACAAGAAAAGTGTGAGAGGGAGAGAGAAACAGCAAGAAAACAGACGGAGCGAGAACATGGCGAGAGAGATAAACAAACACGGGAGAAAAAAAAAAAATGTGTGTGCTCAGGAGTGGAAAGCAGCGAGGCAGTGTGTGTATTTGTGTGTGTGTGTGTGTGTGTGTCCCTACCTTGACGACGGCAGGTGGTGGTCTGATCCGGTGGTTGCTGCTGGCTGCATGGTTCTGTGCCTTGCCACCTGTGTATTGATTATAGCTGAGCTGGGAGTTTGCGGGTGCCAGAAGGAGCTTCTTCAGCTGCGAATGGACCCAAACAGAACAAGGGAAAGCAGTGAAGGCGGGGAAGTGAGGGTGGGTTATGCAAATGCAAATTTTCTTTCAATTAGACCGCCTGTGGTTTGTAAATGTACAACCAGAGGAGACCAAAGCTGCAGCTATAAAAGATAATATCACTGACATTTTTAAAAGATTAGACAATTTACAGTATGTGACAGGAGAAGTTAAGTTTTTTTTTTTTCTTCCTGTACAGGTGTTTTTGTGTAAACAAAGACAGGCTTTTCTAATGTGATTAAATAAACACGCTTAGGCAAGTGGCTGAAGGTCATTTTACAAGGAACCGGCACGGAATACATAATGAAAATAACATTTGAGGTCAAAGCCGTTACACCAGAGAAATGCCCAGATAGTATGGCCATGTGTAAAAAGCACACAAAGGTAGGCTGACTAAATCGAGAGAGCCCTGTCCTTTTGCCAAAAAACACGACTCGGGCCGAGGGAGATTAGTCGGGACTCAGTGAGACTCGACGAGATGGATTACTTTCTCCCCTTACTTTAATTTGGTGCCGGCTTGATTTCAGGGCCCGTGGCACTGTGTCAACCGTAGTTGGCCCAACCACAGCGTTCATATCATTGAATTGGTGCCACAAAAGCACTGTTATGTAATTAGCACAAAGCAGCGAACACGCTGATCCATTCCATTTACTTCAATCCTCACTGCATCTGCATCTCTGCACGCTTCCACTACTCGTACTGTGCGTACAATGGTGGCGACTGTGGCGCAGGGTGGATTTGGCGACGCCTAACAAGCAAACTGGCCACTTTCGGTGCCCAGTCTGTGCGGAGAGTCTCCCATGGACCGGCACGGAAGCAAGCAGGGTCAGACGTCACGTCTTGGGAATGACTTGTGTTTTAAGCCCTGGAATGGTGGTGACGCGGGGGTCTCGAGGAGGTCGGGGCGTTTGGTCTTACCAGGGAGGGCTCCTCGGGCTCTGGGGTGCGCGGCGAGCCGTCAAGGGAGGAGGGACAGCTCCGGTCACTGGCATTGGTCACGTCCCCATCTGCCAGGGCCTCAAACGAAGGCAATCCGTCCTCATCCACCGGGATGCTGTCCAGGGTCTCTGTAAGCACTGCCAGCAAGTTGGCCTCATTTTCTTCATCTATCTTCTTGGGGGGGGAGGGAAAGTGGGGAAGACGGAGACAGAAAAATAGAGAGACGGGGGAAATAGGACATTTTAGTCTGGAGAAGTTGCAACTCTTAAGCAAAGGTGGTGGGTGGTTTCATGGCGGCTTTTATTTTTCACAGAGTGGGAAGCTTTTTTTTCCTAATTTCTTCTTTTTTATGCCGCAGTAGAGCCGACTCTATTTTGGCAGCCTTTTTAAAAAAAAAAACAAATTCTCTCTCTCTGCAAGTGAGTCAAGGCTGTCACTCATGTTTTAAGCATGCAGCTTACTGGACCAAAATAATATCTCCCCCAAGAAACCCATTACCAGGACTGACAAGTAGCAAGTATCTCGGGAAGACAGGAATGGGTCGGGGTGAGTTACAGTACGGACGGGTTTGTGGGGCTAAACCAAACAATGAGCGGAAGTCTCCTCCCTCACAGAAACGGCAGACGATCTGCTTGCCGACGAGATGTTTGCAAGCAATCCTCCGATAAGCCGAATTACCACCTGCTAATGCTAAATAAATGTGATATATTTAAAATGTTGGCATGACAGCCGATGTTCACGATGGGCGGGAAGTTGCCATCAACTTTTCGTGAAAAGTAAAGCTTGTTCTTGCCACTCAGCTCCTCTTTGATGTGCCCGAGGAGTTGTGTGATTGGTGCAGCTGGCTGTTTAATGGTAGAGATTATAGCCGTGTGTGAGAAATAAACAGACACAGAGACAAATATACTGTAGGGAGATGGATCATGAGAGTGAGGGGGAAAGGGAGATCGGCAGCTGCCAACTATCTACCATGCGGGTTCAACGGGGATAAAAACTGTGCGTGTATGTAGAGAGATGAACAAGAATAAGGAGGATGGATATTAAGGGTGAGAGGAAAGCGCGTGCGAGAGGCTGTTTCTTTCCGCTGTGACAAGTGACAACAAGAACTGTAAGTTCCAGGGCCATAAAAGCCCCCGGGGGACTTAAAGACAGCGGAAAGATAAACAGCGTCGTCACCTCGAGGTGTTTCGCGGCCAGCCCCAAAAAGAACAAATCCCTTTATGCACATGGAGGGATTTTCATCGCTCGGCGGCGGCGGCGTGTGGCCATCATCATGCCGAGGGGGCCAACCACCACTCAGATGCCAGCACTAGACCTCCAAAGACTCAAATGCACAACATTTACTCCCACCCACTTGTTTCCGTCTACCCCACTGATTTTACATAATTACACACCCACCACGGATGGCACATTTGGAGCAGGTTTGGATTTACCAGTGCGATAGCGGCCATTTTAATGTTTTCCCCCCCTTGCGATTTACCATCCATAAGAGACAGAGATAGAGGTAAACGTTCAGTTGGCTAACTAACAGCGAGGGAAACGTTAATCTGGTGTTCATTGAGTAGATTTTCCTCTATCAACATGAGCACTCAGTCATTATTAAAAAATGATAAAGGGGACATATTTCACAGAGATAACGCGACGTAGGACTGTGGCCATGTCGCATTGGCAAGCAAACGCCTTGCAGGAAATTGCTCTGTATGAGGTGGCATGCTGTTTAATTACTTGCAAGGAGCTTCAAATCCACTGTGCTGGAACCCTACGCCACTGAAATGTTCCACATTTCCAGCATCCCAAGTTATTACCTGAGCACTAAGCGGGTAGGTATTAACCGCTGATAAAGACGGAGCCTTTTCTTAGCCCAAATATACATTCTCGTCTGGGAAATTGAAAATAGGATCATTTCAGATTATCACAAATGAGTCTTTAATGAGCCACCCATCTGTTTCGGTCCAAACTCACCAACTATCAAAGCAATGCTGTGTTTAAGTGAGGCTCAATTCCCCTCGATAGTCAGTTCAACCCCATACCTTGTGGAGATATTAGTGTGTGTGCGACACTGTGACACTAGTAATGCTACGAGTTAAGAGGGCTGTGCAAGCTTCATTATGTCATGGTTTGGAGAGGATTGGGGAATTTTCGAGGCTGTGGCAGGATCAAATGTAGCAATTTCAATCCCGTTTCAAAAAACCTATACGAGTTGGCAAGCTCCCACTGGCACACTGTATCCCCAAAGATAACCCAAAAGGGTCTCATATTCTGAAAGAGTCACTTGTAAAAACCCTAAATCGTGACGATCATGCCGAACCCGCTGCCGCGGCTCCAGTGGAGGCTCTCTAACGCCAAGTGGGGATTTGGCAAACTGGGGTAAAGATCAACCTCAGTGATTGTTTCTACCCTGGAGAGAGCATGATCTAATACCCCTGTCCAGGACGGCGAGCTTTTCCATGCCGGCTTTTGGATCACACATTGCAGAGCTTCTGCACAAAAGTCAATCTTTTACTAATGACTCACTCTCCCCTTGTATATCTATCTACAAAATATCGGTGTGGGCCGACTTCAGGAGCTGCGGCACCTGAAGGGGGGGCGACGTGGAGAAAACCTGGAAACCTCCTGACAGCCATGTCCACTTATATTGATTACCAGAGCAGCTGCTGAGAGGGAAAAAAGGGCATGAATAACAAAGAGAGAAGAGAAAAATTGCCTCGGTGGGAACACTTTCTCGCTCACCCCGCTTAATGGACCCCACCGAATTAAAGAGATCTTAACAATCCTAGGCTAATTGCGGGATCACAATATATTAACCCCACTCCAATCCTAAAGGGTGCCATTTTGGGACTATTTTATTCCAAATGCTTCAATTAGCCATAAAACATGATGGCAAGTGCTGGCAGAGCTCCTCTCCCCCTCCTTCACCCCAGCTTCCCCAAGTCAGCGAAGACAAAGCCAAGTCCCGTTGTTCATTATTAGGCGAGGCCCTTTTGTTATCAGTCAGGCTGTCTTTGAGGTTGTCCTTGCCTTTAACTCTTTTATTGAGTTGAGCACAGCATTGTGTTCCAGGAGATACTATTCACACAGCTGATAACGTGAGGTGAAAGTGCTGTTTTAAACAAACACCCACTTCTGCACACTGGGGCAAATGGACAAATTAAATCTGCTAATTGCTTCTTGAGGATTTCAAGCTCCTGAGCAAATTTGCCGGGGATCAAATTTTAACGAGCTTTTCAGGGCAATGCATCATTTACGTGTTAAAAGGAACGGAATGTGTTGTGAAAGTGCCAGAATGATAGACCCGATCACTGAATAACACCAAGATGGGGTTTCAACGGACTAAACAGCCCCGCCGTTATCAACGAATGAGAGGCAGAACATGTGACAGACCCTGTGGACGTGGGAAGATAAAATATCTCCCATTAAATGGGTCATCTGGTATTTAAAGTGCTGTTTATTCTCACTGTCTCTTTTTTGCACACTCTTCTCTGTAGATATTGGAATAGCATCCATTTAGACAGAAAGCATTCTTAATAAATTGGCCCCCAAATTGCGTGGCAGGGTTAAATCTGTGTCTTGACAATTTAATTGCATTGCTTCATCTCAATCGTTTATTTTTTTTTCTACTCCTCTTTGCTCTGTCAGATTTTTAAAAACATTCTCGATGAGGTTAAGCGACCAGCCAGACCTTGTAATCATGGCACAATCAGAAATCGAGGGGTATGTGCTGGCCGCAAGTGTGCTGGTGGGAGAGGCGGGGAGGGACGGGCACGGGGGGGGGCAGCCTTTTTATAAGATTTTATAAACAAATAATGCCATTTTGTGTTATTACCCCAAGCCCCCCCCCCCGATTTCAGAGGAAATAAATCAACGTCAACCTTGCCATTAAGGCGTTGGTCAGGCCCGACACGTCGGCCGGTCACACAGGCACAACATATGGCAGCAGGGGAGGAGGGAGAGAAGTGAGGCAGGGAGGGTGAGGTACGGCACGATGCACGGCAGAGAGACAAATCATGGCAGCCGCCAGAGACGTCTGGTCATTTAGCATGAGCTTACTGAGATGGAGAGAGGGTGATTATGGCCTATACGGAGCGTTGAAGCCATACATAACACTGTTAAGTCTCCCTGTGTGTCTGTCTGTGTGTGTGTGTGTGTGTGGCGGCGGTGAAACAGTTTGGCAATGTTCCAAATCATAAAACCAAATGTTAAACCTCCATCGGGGTCCCGGCTGTGATTGGCTCCGTAATACATAAAAGCAAACTGACGGCTCGTGTCGTTTTCCATATGACTACAGAATCAATATGGCATCTTGGAATTCTGAAACAACATCCAAAGGGAATGATACTATAGACTAGATATTGAGAGTCTCCATGTAAGTGTATCTCTACGGATCCATCAAGTGGATGCATCCCTCCTCTGTCTCTCCTCTGTTGTCGCCCCTATGGATTCACCATATATTATGGCTCACCGTGATGGCTTGTGTGGTAAATTGCTAAATCTAGTAACCTCTAAATTCAGACAAGGTTGCCCAGTCTAAGCATAAGACAGTTGACTTTAGGATTCTCCATCCTGCTTAGCAATAATACCACAACTTGTGTCGTGATAATCCCTCCGCTCTGGCACGCTTTTTCTTTTTTGTGTGCCTCAGCTTGAACAAAAATGGCAGCTCTCTGAATGAAGAAGAAGTGCTTCTGCAGAGAAGCTGACTGTTTACATGGCCAATGTCTGTCTCAGTTTAGAAGCCTATGTGAGTTGCACATCAGTGAGGAAACGGTTCGACCTATCAATGAGAACCAGTGTGTGTGTGTGTGTGTGTGTGGAGAGATGATGCATCTCCTGGGAACCGTTTGAGACTGTTACAGCACTATCTGATGAGCTAATCGGGAAAAGAAGGGAAATAGAAAGTGAGAAGAGGAGCTTTGTGTGTGTGTGTGTGTGTGTGTGTGTGTGAGGTGTTGTTACACATCCTGACACAGGCCAGATCCCAGGGATGAGACCCGAGGGATGTTAGCGGCATTCTTCTTTCTAGCTCTCAGTGGAAAAACCCTCTGACCGGTAACCCTGCTTCTGCTTTTTGCTTTTGCCAAAACTAACCACGTGAACCATGTCACACACCGGCTGAGATCAACTGAGGCTGTTACGAGGCTGCAGGCACACCACCTCCCTTACTTTAAGATATTGGT